AGACTGATTCATCTTAAAGCAGTATTTATCCACGTATTTCTACTGGGAGAATATCTGCTAAAAGGGCTTATTTTGATCTTGTTTTGGTAATTCACATGGATTGTTATTGCCCATACAATTGTGAACTTTTTTCAATGATCAAGATTAGTGGGAGATTTGTCTTCAGAATTTGTAATAAACAAAGAAGAAAGTTCCCACATCAAAGAGGGAGATTTTTTTAATTTGGGAAAATACCCCTTATTTTAAGAAAAATATTTGAAAATATGGCTGCAGAAAGTGGGAGTCTCCCGCTGAAAGTGAGAGTTCACATGTATGATTGCAATTTCCCAAAAAATTAATCTCTTTCTTGTTCACTTCACAATAATTTCTGTTTAAATATATTTTCAAAATTTTCATGAAAATAAGCATAAATATGGAGGCATGCTGCTAATTAACAAAGATTATACCTGGGGAAAAAAATAAGATAGCATGATTTTATAATTTCAGCCTAGCATTTGTTGATATTCATGACATGAATATCTCAGTTGTAATAAATAATATACATTGTATTTTAACAAGATGCCCAAGTGCAACATGTCAAGCCCCGTGTCACGTATGACCTTTAGCTTTGATCTGGTCAAACAGTTCTTGCGCACAACATGCCGACATTTGTGCCAGAAAATTTCACAGCTTAAAAGTGATAAAGTTATGGTGCAGACAACCTGTTTGAGATCATTTTTTTGCATTTGACCTTAAAGTAAGACCTTGAACTTTGACCTAACCACACAGTTCTTTCATGTGACACGCCATCCCATGACACTGAACATTTGTGCCAGGTTATTTGAAATTCCTTCAGCTAGTGATAAAGTTATGGTTTGGACAAGCTGTTTGAGACAATTTTTCTGCATTTGACCTTAAAGTATGATCTTGACACACAGTTCTTACGTGTGACAGGCCATCTCATTGTTGTTAACATTTGTGCTAAATTATTTGAAATTCTGCCTACTAATGACAGAGTTATGACCCAGACAAGCATTATATCCAGACGGACGGACGCACACGCACATAACCGCCATTGTGACAACTATGTCGAGCTCTTGGCAAGCTGGCTTGACAAAAATATTCAACATGATGATATTTGTTAGTATGTCACATTCTGTAAATATGATTGAATCACGGACTGGAACCATTAAACATATGTGAGTTTTGTTTTATATATTTTGTGAAGTTTGGTCAAAATCTACCATCTGGTTTAGGAGGAGATGTTTTAATAAAATAAAGAAATCCCAAATAGCACATGAGGAGATACTGCCACAAAAACATAGTGCTCGGGAATCATACTGAAAAAGATGGAATTGCTTCTGTATTAGAAACTTGTAAAAACCTTGAATCGTTGTCAGTGGTATTAATTAATCAATTTTGCAGAAGTATGATTTTTTTTTTGATCTTTAATATATTTCATCATTAAAACAGAAGTTATTTAAGTCTAAAACCATTCTCTTATTAATGGTTCTGTTCACCCGGATTAAGTTCATTAGGGAGGGCATCAAATAAGAAATCCAGAGATCACTGGTTCTATATTTTGGTCATTTGTCTCTCTCACCACTAATTCAGAAATGTTCTGGGATATAAGTAACCATTCAATTGCCCAGAAATTTGTAATTACTGGTTAGTTATCCAGGAAAGTCAGTTAGAAGGATCGACTCAGCCAGAATGTGACCTTCAAAATCATGTGTTTAAATCATGGTTAAAAAACAACAACAAAAAAACAAACAAACAAAAAAACCCAAGAAAAACAGACAAAGGTTCAGTACAACTTTTGTTGTGCAGGGATATATAAAAATAAAATCCCCATGTGGTCCTCTATCCACACACCAAGTCTCATAAACCCAGCTTTTGTAATTTCTGTTATAACTAGATCAAGATTTCTTCAAACTGACGATAAATATTATATTTGACTGCAAAAAACAGTCACCAGAAATCTAGACACTATGTCAGCTAAGTAGGATAGCTCTCCATGTAGCTATAAAGGAAAAATGACAACCACTTCTGTCCAAAGCTTTTATTCTTAATATAAGCTAAACTCAGAACTGGTGAAAAAAAAAACATTCTAAACCCAATATTACTAACTACATGTACATTTAACTTTAATCCATAATGAAAATACATCCCAAACAGTGTTGAGAGTGGACAACATTTTTAGCACCACAGTTACTTATATTAACATGAAAACTAATGCTTGCATAAACATTCACGACAATGTTAATGAATAATTTTGTTGGAGAAAAGCTAGCAATTAAGTAATATGCTAGTAACTGACTAGAATCCCCAGTGTGATATATCAGAGTACATGTAAATAAACAAGAAGATGAGCAACTCTGATAAAACTAACAATTTTTGTAGCAATGTGCCACAATTTATATGACTTGTAGAATTCACATACATTTACATATGACGATTATACAGATCAAGGTCATACTTAAGTTACATCAAATAAAGGTTAATATGTTTTTATATAAAAGTTTGAAGTATCTAAGAGCCCCAAGTATCTATGGGCCCTCTAGTTCTCTACATAAATCTTGACAGTGATTTCCCTGGAAAGATCATTTGAGCACAGGACCATGATTTTTATAAGTTTTGTTGAGGCCCAACATCGGATATTCAACATTATAAGTTCTTTTATTAAGTTCCATATTGAAAATGCTTCATGCTGGGTAATGGTGTCAGATTGAACTTTATATGCAAGGCTATTCCACAAAGGGACCAATTTTGACTTCCTAGTCATGATTTATGCACTTTTTCTAGGATGCCACTAGGAAATGCTGCATTTCAAACATTTATACTTAAACCTTGCAGTTTCTAATATTTAATTTTTAAAATCTGTTGTTTTTTTTGGTTCCTGTGACCTACTTAATATGCATCAGACTGGAACCAGTAAGATCAACAAAAAATTCACTATCTCACTATGAGGTTTCAGAGGAGATGCTAAGACCATTGTGGACAATGATGTTAAAAACACAGCGAACATGGTTTTGTACCTCTCAACACTTTGTGCCAAGATATGCTACCTATTATCATTAATTGTACTATTACACATGTATAGAGATAGATTTAAAATCTTAACCAAATTTTTATATCTATAAACTACCAAAATGGAAAATATTACATTTAAGGATATAAATGTGTGTTATTGATATACCAACAAAATAAAAAGGAAAGCAATGTATATACATTAATAATAATAATAAAATTAATAATAATAATAATAAACAAGCAATTATCATAGTATTGCAAGCAATCCATAAGTCCCCTACCGGTAAGAGCCCAAGCAACATTCTGAAGGGCCATTGGCCATTCACTTATGTTCCTATTTTAAGTAAATTTGTTGAAAAAGTTCTTTCAAAGTGATCACAGGAAACAGTTTTTATGTACAGACAGACGGACTGAAGGACATTCTAAAGTTATTTTTTAAACATCCCTGTTATCAAAATATAACATTTTTAAAATCCTATCATGATTGAAGAAGTTGGAGTAAAAATTACCAATTTCTCAAAAAAAAATCTAAGTTCAAAAGGGGCATAATTCTGGAAATAGTCTTGCTAGAGTATTGAACACTCACAAATGTTGAGTGATAATAAGAAACATTTATATGAAGTTTGAAGTAGATACATTCAGAAAAAGAAGTTATTAAAAAAAAAAAAAAACAATGTTTTTTATGAAAATTTTAAGTTCAAGGGAGGTAAATTTGATAAATTTTGTGCTAGAGTTGTAAACCTTGTCACATATGATGTGGTTGATTACAAGCAACTTATATTTAAAGTTTGAAGAAAATACCTTAAGAAATAAAGAACTTATAGTGAAAAAACTTAAAAACTAGAATCAGAAATCTTGAAATTCAGTCTATTTGTTGCCATAGCAACAGAATTTTCAACATAGGAAGATAAGAAAAGCATGTGCATAATTTCCATACTGCCATATACCCATATGTCAAGTTTCATAAACATATTTTCAGTACTTTTTGTGTTATCACTGGATCCCAGTTATGTGTAAAATTTGCCATATTTTCAGACTATTTGTTGCCATAGCAACCAGAATTTTCAACATAGGAAGAAAAGAAAAAGACGCGCATAATCTCCATACTGCCATCTATCCATATATCAAGTTTCATAAAAATATTTTCAGTACTTTTTACGTTATTGCGGGATCCAGGTTATGTGTAAAATTTGCCATATTTTCAGTCTATTTGTTGCCATAGCAACCAGAATTTTAAACATAGGAAGAAAAGAAAAAGACGTGCATAATCTCCATACTGCCATCTATCCATATAGCAAGTTTCATTAAAATATTTTCAGTACTTTTTGTGTTATCGCGGGATCCAGTTTTGTGGACGGACGGACGGACTGACGGACGGACAGATGGACGGACAGACAGACGGACGGAGGGTAAACCTAAAGTCCCCTCCGGTAAACCGGTAGGGGACTAACAAGCACATGCCTTCTTTACAGTGGAAAAGTCACAATTTTTCAACAAAATTAAAACGAGTGATAAATTTGTTAAACAAATTAACAAGATTACAAAGTCAAAGTTTTAAAGATATTTCAATTATTTGTATATCAACAGGATTTTTCCAGCGGCAAACATCGATGTATTTATTTTCCCATTACAAACATGTTTTATAAGTTGTGGTAAAGTTAAACCATTCACAAATCATCAACACTTTACAGCAGATGTGTTAAAGTAACATCTTAACATTCACATGTCCAAATATGATATCATTTAACTATGGTCCAGTCAAATTTTTCACATATCAACAAGACTTCTTAGTATAGGTAAAAGTAGATCCGTGTCCTGTTTGGGATTGATCACCCTTGCAGATCTTGACGACTGTTGCATTTGACGCTCAACTTCACAGAAACCCTTGTCTGCAGACACTATTGTAAAAGACACATTAGAGGGAAGACGTTCATCCATCTTTCCCACCTGAAAATGTAGTAAATAATAACACTACACATATAATTTACAACCTTTCTTTAGCTAATATATTATGTTCATATTTGATACTTGAAAAAAAACTTATATACATGTAAAAATTTATCATTTTAACCATTTGTTTCCTAAATGAATGTCCTGACAATGAATAAAACTGCCTTAAAACGGAAGTTAAAGTTCTAAGTAAATATTCCTTCATTCAAAAAGATTCAAACTTTGAAAGGTTACATTGATGTGAACCTCTTTTTCTTGCTTCTTTCTTTCTTTGTTTTGTGTCACATCGACACAGTATAGGTCATATCGCGACCTTCCAGCTTTAGAAAGACCTCGGGTGCCCTTCTGTGCATTATTTCAGGCACAAATGGGCACCTGGGTAGAACCATCGACGTTCCATAAGCTAGCTGGATAGCTTCCTCACATGAAAGAATCCAAAGTCCCTGTCGGGATTCGAATTCACAGCTGTGAGGGGCAAGTGGTTTGAAGTCAATGACCTTAACCACTCGGCCACGGACCCCCCTTCTTGCTTCTTAACACAGTATCAAAACAAAGATCTGAAAGACAGCTTGCTTGACTTTTCTCATTGCTTGACAATATAGAAAGGGGCATAACTCTGTAACAAGGTAATTCAAAAGTTATGTGACATGTACCCATCATGTTGGATAATCTAAGTATTTCGGATATACCAATTTGCACGCAGAAACTTGAGTGTGACAGTGATGTTGACGCCAACACCGGCACACAGGTAAGTACAATAGCTCACCTTTTTCTTTGAAAAGTCATAATACAACAATTGAATTACATATAAAGTCCGAGTGAATAGAAGATTTGTATGAAAACATAACTATTAATCAGAAATTAATTTCATTCTTCTTTCTTTCTGTGTGTAAAAACTAAAATAAAATAATATTCAATTAAAACTCACAGTCAAAACTAGAGCAAAGTCTGCAGCATCCTTAGTCTGTCCACATCTATCACTTATATATACTTGACCATTTTGTTTCATTTCAAAGTAAATTTCATTGAGCGTTTTCTGTCCAAAAGTAAATTTACCACCGTAGAATGCCCATACAAACATGTCTTCAGGAGGACTGTGAGGTAACACTCTAAAAAAGGTGGAAAAGTTGTCCAAATCCAAGAAAATAATGTTCCTCTTCTTCTTCAAGTTTTCTGTTGAGATCAGATTTACATCCTGGGTATTCAGAAATAACTCAGGATTCTTCAGCTAAAATAATATATAAATAAACATTTTGAAGGAATAACACATGTCAAACAAGAGGGCTATGACGGCCCTGAAACGCTCACCAGAAACAACTGTTTTTCAGTGTTAGAAATATTTTTCAAATGAATTTGCCGAAAATCAAGTCCAGCACAACTTCAACTTGCCCCTGTAGTTAAATAGTTTTAGCTGCCCCTAAAAGGAGAATTCAATCAAATTAATATGAAAAAATTTGATAAAGACTACCTAAGAATGCTACAGACAAAGTTTGGTGACAATCCATCAATTAGTTTAGTAGAAGATGTTTTAAAGTTTTTCTATTTTTAGCTCTGGTCAACCCTTAATGGGGCCAATTAAAAAAATGAGACTGTCATAAGGATGATACAGACCAAATTTGAAGTAAATCTGCCATGCAGTTTTAGAGGATATGAATATTGACGCCATGAAGACAGACACCAGAGCATCCTCCTTTGATACAAGTAACTCACCCTGAACCTTCGGTTCTGGTGAGCTAAAAAAAATAATTCACTATCAGTAAATTAGTTTAACTGCAATGGGCTATATTCATAATACTTGATAAAAACAAAATTGCAGTTATTTTTCAAGCCTGAGGATTGAATGTTAAACCATTGCAGCAGAATTAAATTGAGCAAGTAAGACCATAAAGGTTAAGAATTTAATTGAGCAAGTAAAACCATAAAGGTTAAGAATTAAATTGAGCAAGTAAAACCATAAAGGTAAAGAATTAAATTGAGCAAGTAACAACATAAAGGGGTAAGCCACTGCAGCAGTATTAAATTAAGCAAGTACAAACATAAGGTCAATTGTGATTTGATTGATGCAGTCACAAATCAAGTAAAGAATTATAATTCTGGCACTAAAAATGTACAAGACCACTTATTTATATGCCGTTACATTGTCTAGTGGAATCATTCACCATAAGACCAAATATTAAGGGTTTCCAACTTTATCTCTTCTCCACTTACATCATCTTTTTTTTGTACATGTATATGAAAATGAGCCAAACTCAAAGCCAGATTACTACATAAGTGTAATATAACATTTTTCTAAAGCTGATTATAGTAATATATGTTATTTTATAGTTGAAATAAGGATAAAATTTATTTTACAAGTTTCCTAGATCTTTTCTTTACATTTTACAAAAATCTCACAAAAACTTCTAATTCATACCAGGTACAGTTTTATACTCTGGGGTGTAAATATCCTGATACCACCTTGGTATAGATCTACTATTATTTTCTTTATAAAATCATTCAAACAATTCTCTAAAAGGAATGCAATATAAAATTAGAAAAATCACTGCTCTATTACCTGCTTTGTTGAAATTGGCCCATTGACAGTTCCTTTAAAAGCAAGATTCGAACCATAAGCACCAGTTTGATGACTTTTAAAATTACTGTCATCCCTTAACGCAGCTTCTTTCAAAGCAGCCCTCTTTTCTATTTCTTCCTGTCTAGCAGCTTCTTTTCTCTCTGCATTTTTTATTCGTTGCTGTTCTCTCTTGGCTTCTATTCTCTCTGCATTTATAAATCGTTGCTGTTCTCTCTTGGCTTCTATTCTCTCTGCCTTTTTTATTTGTTGCTGTTCTCTCTCTGCTTTTTTTATTTGTTGCTGTTCTAACATACCAAGTGCCCTTTTCTTTTTCCTCTCTAGCATATTATTAGCTGCAGCTTTTGCTTGCCTCGTTGGCATTCTTCTGCACTCAGGGTCTCCATCTTTTTTTTCCTCCTCTTTATTTAAGAATTTCAAAAGTTTTTCACATGCCGATACTTTTGCTTCTTCTTCCGCAAGTCTCCTTTGTTTTTTTGTCATTTTTTTGCCTGGTTTTCTCTTCTTTTTCCTTTTTTTCTTCGATGAAGATATAACCATACCAGACTTTGGTTTGGTATTTTTCTGATCATCTTCGACCACTGAATCACTATCACTAATAAGAATTCTATCTACACTGCCATCAGGATCACTGATTTCTATAAACTCAAGGTCTGAATCAGAATCGTTAGAGGAGGTTCCAAAATCTTGTGTCCCAGAAACTATACCAGTGCTTGTTGATGGCATTTCTTCCTTAATGTTATACTGTTGTGCTCCTTTAACTTCTTGTTTTACTCTTTCCAAGTGCAAGGTTTCTGTGGCACCCTCATTCTTAACAGTGACATCGGGTCCTGTTTCTTTAACTTCTTGATTTACTGTTTCAGTTGTACCTTCTTTCTTTACAGTGACACCAGGTCTTGTTTCTTGAACTTCTAGTTTAATCACATTATGATGCAGTGGTTCTGTGGTCATCTCTTTCTTAACATTGACACCAGGTGTAGTTTCATGAACTTCTTCTATTACTTTATCCCAACAAATTGGTGCAGAGGTACCCTCTTTCTTTAGAGCTACACAAGGAAATGTTTTTTGAACTTCTTGTTTTATTTTCTTGGCAAGATCTACTTTTTGCCCTAATTCTTTACTAGAGGCACACTGTTCTGTCTTAATATCTACTACACTATCAGATTCAGAATCAATATCACGTAAAGAACAACTTAGTCTTGTCCTAGGACTATCATCTAAAGCACCTTTCAGTGCTTTTAATTTTTCATTTACTAAATTTCTACTTGATCCAGGGCTATCAAAACCAGATTTTTTCCTTGGACTTTCCTTTACACCACCTTTGGATGGTTGAGATTTATCATTTGCACCATTACTCATTTTACTTTTACTACTGTCTCTCTCTAAGGCTTGGTCTTTTAAGTCCAAATAACCGTCTTCATCATTTAAGTTCAAATAATCATCTTCAGTTCTGAAAGCGTGACCATTTAATGTTGCTACTGGATCATGCTTTATTGTTTGCTTAACTTTACCAATGTGCATTAAGCCATTATGTGCCTTCTTTCCTTTTACTGAAGGTATCAAAGACAGAGCAGAGTATTTCAAAAATTCACTTGTGGTGTTAACAAGGTTGGCTTTAATATTACCCACAATGCCACCAGCACAAATATGTCTGGGATCTCCTGCTGGCTGTTCATCAAACAATCGATGACATCTGTCACAAGAAAATGTCATTATGTATGTAGAAAATACATCAGCCTGAAAAATATACAAAATACCACTGATCAATTACTTTACAAAGTAAACTTAAGACTTGCTGATAAAGTTGATACTAAAATATTTTTATTTTATTTAAGTTACTAGCTGAACAAATGAATTGACAAGATTATCAATGAATAAAAAATGGAATAATTACAATATTTCAAGGACCATTATTGTTCATTTTTTACAAATTGTCTTTGAACATTCTGAGATGATAGCATTATTTGTGTTGATATCTTATAAAACGTAACATAACATAGCATTTAATTTCTTAAATTGATATCCACATCTTGATATTGAAACTTAAAGTGACATTATGCCCACCCAAGTATAAACGATGGGAGTACTGGTCAAAGTCAAAATTGGTTTAGACTTTGCCGCAGTTTCATTCAAATTTTAGTCTTGTTCATGTGTATAATCAATAACTCATGTTACTAGCAGAAAAGTTCTATATATGATAATATATATTGGAATGAATTGTAAACATTCAATTGATATAAAGGACAGTCTTTTGATATTTAAGGCATCTGTTTTATTTTATCCTCAATATTTTTCATTATCAATTTGTTGGTCAATGACCAAAGTAATAATAACCATTATAATACTTAATCTTTTTAAATATTTAGCCTATTCCGCTCAACTTTATACAGGCATCGAAAAATATTTTCATAGTCACTGGTCCTGCAGGACAAGTAGCTTTTAAATCCAATGTACAGGCAACATTTTGATACTCATTCTGCAATGAGTTTTCTTAACTATGAGCGGAACAGCAGATTTTTTTATCTCTGTTTACAACGAAAACAAGAGCTGTCACAGGAGACAGCGAAGCTCGACTAATAATATACTGGACGCAGTAACGAGGACAAAACTATGAAAGAAAAATCAATTATGTATAATTATGTATTAAGTTATAGTAAAAAATAATAATTGTTAACATAAATTCCAAGATCAAGGGGAATAATTCTAGAAATAATGCTAGAGTTATGGACCTTGTCACACAACATTTGAGTAATGATAAGAAATATATATTTGAAGTTTGAAGTAGATACCTTAAAAAGTAAAGAAGTTATTATATTTCTTAAAGAAAATCCTAAGTTCAAAGAGAGATAAATGTGTAAATATTGCTTCAAGGGTTATGAACATTGTCACATAAAATGTAATTGATAATAAGGAATAAGTATTTGAAGTTTGAGGTAGATACCTTTAAAAATAAAAAAGTTATAATAAAAAATAACATTTTTCTAGTAAAAAAATCTAAGTTTATGGGGAGATAATTCTTGCAATATTGGTGCTAGAGTTATGAACCTTGTCACATAAGATGTGGATGATGATAACGTAAATATATTTGAAGTATGAAGTTGTTCCCTCCCTTACGGAATTAACTTATAAGTCACTTATAGGCTATTTTATATGTAGATTATACTTCACTTAGTCAATTTACCTATAAGTCAAGTATATGTATTTTAAATGCAAATTAGATGTAAGTGCAGTATATGTCTGGCATTTTGACATATAAGTGAAGTATAAGTTATATATAAGTCACAAATATGTGACATGTAAGTCAAAGATATGCTCAACTTATAAGTAACATATAAGTGACTTATATGTTACATATAAGTGACTTAATATAAGTCACTTATAAGTAACATATAAGTCACATGTAAGTCACATATATGTTGCTTGATGTCAAAAAAGCTAGAATGAAAATAAAAGTTTAGTAATTTAATTTCAAAAATGTTTATTAATTTATATTCTTAGTCATATAAATGAGCAAAATACAAAATTCAGCATACATATCCTTCAGTTCAATCATCTTACATTCACTATAACAAAAACAATATTTATTTCTAGCAGCAAGTTTTTGTAGGTACTGGTTTTCTTGGAATCAAACACTTTGTTTTTTACAATTATTTTGCTGGAAGTCTGTCAGTGAGGAACTTTTCAAATCATAAATTTGTTTCAAATGTTTCTGATTATTTAAACTACTATTTCTTTTATTGATGTCTGTTTCAGTCCTCTGATTCTGTTTCCTCGGAGAACTTCATGTGGCTGTGTTCACCTTTAAAGATAAAATTCATAATTAATTAAAAAAGATGTGGAATAAATTGTGTACTATTGTATATGCAGTTATATTTCATATTTTTTATATCATCAAACTATATTACCGGTAGCTATTTATGCTTATGCATATACAAAAATACTAAGTTACACAGTATCTCATTTCAGTGCACAAGTCACCAGTGTTGTTTAAGAATTGCTTAAAGTCTCTTATAAGAATTGATTAACTGCACTATTTGCAACAAAATTTATTATGCTTTTTTCTGGGAAAGATTTAGAGCAGAATTAGTATAGAGATTAAAAAATATACCTTTTCAGGCTCAATACTGCATATCATTATTCACCTGGCATCTCAAAGTAAGAACTGGTCCCACTAGCCTGCAATGTATGTAAAATGTAATATCAGATTTCTCCATTGAAAACAACAATAAAATGATAAATGATTATGATGACCTCGTCTTATTCAGCTCATAAAACTTCTGATTGTACTATTTAGTCCTAATAATTCAATTAATTTGACTATTATATCTAGATTTCAATCAATTACAAGTATTAGTTAATCTAATGTATGAAGCTTAGAAATAACAAGATTGCATTTGAGAAAAATGCTATGCCACCGCATTAATACAATACTAAATAGTAGTGTAGGAACAGATTTTTTTTTGTTTCTATACAATTTTGAAGATTGTCATAATGCAAAGATCCCTGACCTTATAAATATTCTAATTCTTATTATCAGATTATTGGTTAAATCTGTTGTTAACTCAATAAAAGATCAGAGTAGGAATATATCAATGCACGCGAGTCTAGTAAATTTGGTGGTGAAGGTCATATTTCACACAGCCTAAATTTCATGACTACATCAAAGGACAACACAGTAAGACACTTTGTCAAAATCTAGGTCAGCTGAAATCAAAGTTCACTTTACATCTTAATCTGTGCACATGGTTCAAATTTCATAGCTGTACATCAAAGGACAAGAAAGTAGGTCACATCATCAAAATCTAGGTCACCTGATATCAAATTTCAATTTTACAACTAAAACTGTGCACATGGTCAAAATTTCATTGTTGTACATCAAAGGACAAGAAAGTAGGTCACTGTCCCCTTGGGCAAGGCAAAATTTTGGACCCAAGGGTTTAATTCAAAACAATCTGGATACAGGTCCACCAAACAACATTTCAAGTCAAATATCTAAGCTGTAGCTTTCTCCCATTCAGAAAACATTTGTTTTATTTTCTGTTTTTATTATGTGTACATAATGAGAATCACTGCCCCCGGGCAGGGCCAATTTTGACACCAGGGGAAAAATTTGAAAACCTTTGGTAGAGGACCTATAGATGATATTATATAGCAAACATCAAAGCTCTATGTCTTGTACCTTCAGACAAAAATGTTTTTTATTTTTTTACTATATGTACATAATGAAAATCAATGACCCCCGGGGCGGAACCAATTTTGACCCCAGGGCTATAATTTGAACAATCTTGGTAAAGGTTCACTTAGCAAAGTCTCATGCCTTTAAGGCTTATATTTAACCTCTAGCCTATGTCAATTCAAAGAAGAAGATTTTTTAATTCAGAGAAGAAATTTTTTCAAGTTTTTACTTTATACATATAAGGAAAACTATCGCCTTTGGGGCAGGGCAATTTTAACACTAGGGGCATAATTAAAACAACTTTTGTAGAGGACCCATAGATGATATCATATACCAAATATCAAAGCTCTAAGCCTTGTACCTTCAAACAAAAAGATTTAAGAATTTTTTACTATATGTACATAGTGAAAATCAATGACCCCTGGGGATGGGGCCAATTTTGCTAGAGGTTCACTACACAATGTTTCATGCAAAATATCTTAACTCTAGCATTTGTAAATTAAGAGAAGATGATTTTTTAAGTTTTTACTATATACATATAAGGAAAACCTATGCCCCCCGGGGCGGGGCTAATTTTGACACTAGAGACAAAATTTGAACAACTTTGGTAGAGTACCTATAGATGATATCATTTAACAAATATTAAAGCTCTAAGCCTTGTACCTTCAGATAATAAGATTTTTTGATTTTTTTACTATTATGTATATATTGAAAATCAATGACCCCCGGGGCGCGGGCAATTTTGACCCCAGGGCTATAATTTGAACAATCTGGGTAGACGTCTACCAGACAATGCCTTATGCAAAATATCTAAGCTCTAGGCCTTTTGGGTCTTTACAAGAAGGTATTTTAAGTTTTTACTATATGTACATATAGTGAAAATCAATGACCCCGGGGCAGGCCGATTTTGACCCCAGGGCTATAATTTGAACAATCTTGGTAAGGGTCTACCAGACAATGCCTTATGTAAAATATCTAAGCTCTAGGCCTTTTGGGTCTTTACAAGAAGGTATTTTAAGTTTTTACTATATGTACATATAGTGAAAATTAATGACCCCCGGGGTGGGGCCGATTTTGACCCCAGGGCTATAATTTGAACAATCTTGGTAGAGGTCTACCAGACAATGCCTTATGCAAAATATCTAAGCTCTAGGCCTTTTGGGTCTTTACAAGAAGATTTTTTTAATTTATTCTTATAATTCCTTTTGGTTGCCATGGCAACCAGATTTCTGCATGGAATGAAATTCTTTGAACAACTTTGGAAGCCCTTCACCCAAGGATCAATCCTGCCAAGTTTAGTTGAAATTGGACTAGTGGTTTTTCACAAGAAGATTTTTTAAGTTCACTATATAATCTATATAACACACACACACACAAACAAACACACACACACACAGGTGAATCGCTATATGCCACCGCATCGCAGATGCTGCGGTGGCATAAAAATAGCCTTGATCTCTCAAGTTACAAATTTTAGTTTGCTGCCATCTTACTTTGATTGTTTAATATATAACCTGTATCTGCATAAATGTTACTCAAAAGTATTTACCTGATCCTGTTGTATATCTTCTTGTCCAAGGTGATTCTTCTTGTCATTCTTATTTACCATTACTATACTTAAACATCTTGAACAAAACAATATCTCTAAAATTCCTAAAACATCAAGTAGATTCTCTGTGATTTCACCAGCTTGCTAACCTAAATGTTTTAGACTTACAACTGTGTACCTGGGCAGGTCCAATATTATGTAAAACAGGGTAAATCCAAAAATCAAAGCACTCATCACTTCTATCTTACAGTCATTGAATGTGAAAAAAATCAAATAACTAATAGATATGTAAATTTTAAAAATCATTATACATTTTTGAAAAAGAAAATGCAATGTTCTTTTTTACAAATTCAGGATAGGAAATGTTATCATTCCCCAAAATAATCACATGGAACAGTCTGATTTGTAGGAATGACCAGTCAGAAAATTAGTCATGCACAGATGTGGCAAAGGCAGGTGGCCAGTTTTATCAGACCTCTGATCTATGTGGTGTAAAAAATCAGTGGATGAAGAAAATATATGCAATCATCAGGCATATTGGTTCCTTGATTTTATATAGATTAAAAGGGCAATATAAATGAGTTTATTTCAAGCACTGTTTTTTTTATTGTTTAAATATCTAAAATACACTAGGCCTAAATGTCTTAAAAATAACACTTGTATATTAAAAAAATACACCTCTTTTTCTTGTTAAAATATTATTCTTACTTCAGCAAAATTAGGTCTGTATTACTTAGTACAGTAGGTGAAAACATATAGATTTCAATGTCTGTTTCAAGTTAGAAAACAAACAAGAGTAGAATTATGCCTTGGGTGATTTTATGTGAAATATTTTTTCCTTGTGAGAAGAAAATTGACATAGAATTTCATTTCTTTCCATGGTAGCCTAGAAATCACTGATTGAATGCCATTTCTGTCCCAATTCCGCACAGAATCTGTGCCAAAATTTTTTACAGGTAAAATACTTAATTGATAATCATTTTTCCTATTATCTTATTTAAAAAACCCAAGCTGTGTTCAAAAATTAATAAGCAACATTTAAAAAAAATCTTAATTGTTTGTGATTAAGGTCTAAGATTATAGTATTTTAAATTCTGAGTATTTTGATACCCATTGTGTTAAAGCAAAGACTTACAAATCAACTTCAATAAATTTATCAATTTTTCTCATGTTTTTGTACTTAGTAATTTTTCAGCTTTGCTCAGTAATAAAAAGTCTCGCAAAAGTTCTAAGTTTTCACTTATATCTAACATAGAAACTGGTTACTTCAAACTTTACCAGTATAAGGCACTTATAAGTGACTTGTATGTGACTTACATGTTGGGGAAAAATGGCCAAAAGTGACTTATATGTAGCATATACCTATAACTGACTTAGACAGGTTTTTAGGTGATCTATAAGTGACTTATATGTAACTTATAGTTCTCTTATAGGTCAAGTATAAGTTGCATATAAGAAACATATAAGTCACTTAAAGTCATTTTGGTAAGGGCAGTTTAGAAATAAATAAGTAACAGTAAAAAATAATATTTTTTATGGAAAATTCTAAGTTCAAGGGGAGATAAATCTGAAAATATTGGTGCTAGAGTTATGAACCTTGTCACATAAGATGGGGATGATGATAAGGTACATATATTTGAAGTATGAGGTTGATCCCTTAAGAAATAAAGAAGTAACAGTAAAAAATAGTATTTTTTAAGGAAAATTCTAAGTTCAAGGGGAGATAAATCTGAAAATATTGGTGCTAGAGTTATGAACCTTGACACATAAGATGTGGTTGATGATAAGGAACATATATTTGAAGTTTGAAGTTGATACCTTAAGAAATGACAAAGTTAAAGTGAAAAATATTTTACTGCACCAAAACTTTAATCTAAAATCTGGACGCGGACGCCGGGGCGAGTAGGACAGCTCTCCATATACTTGGTATAGACGAGCTAAAAATGAGCATGTCACTTCAAGCTTGAATTTTTAAGAAATTAAAAAAGGTCAATATTTTATTTACAATCCATGTTAGATTTTTCCATAATCCCCAACATAAAAGCTTTTATCAAGTGTTAAGCAGACACTGAGGTATAGGTCAGTATTTAGTAAAGCTCAAGCATATATGTCTTCAAACAGGTAAGCCTTCAAGAGAGATCTATTTTCAGTACCCTACAATAAATCAGCAAGGGCATATCTGTTAAATGGGAAGGTAAAAAATGTCTGATGCTTATGGCAACAATGACATCTGACTAAACATAATAGTAAAGCTAAAAATGTTATTACCAAATCATTATCAGTGAGCACACATACTCTATGGAAATTTGGGTGTTGCTTTAAATCAGCTGGCGACAAAATGAACATGCTACACTCTAAACACTGCACTTGGAATGGTATCTTTTCACACTCTTTGATGTAATCTTGAACAAATTCCTCTGCTAATGCCACTGGTAGATTAAAATCACCATCTGTTACATCATCTGCAGTAAAAAAAAAGACTTTTTCCACAGATTACATGTAACAACAAGAGCCATGTCAACATGGCCATCCCCCGCCGAATGTGTTTGCTCATTGGAAGAATGTATATGTAGTAGAGCAGAATAATTCCATTTTAAGAGGTCTTTTGGTAATGAAAACTGATGGCTATAGTGATTACAGATTTTAAACCTATGTGAAAACTGATGGCTGAAAATAACAAAGGGCAATAACTGAAAAATAATGCAGGGTAGGTTATCATCCTTGTGTGCTGCATCCCTCCTCAGTAAAATCTATCCACCTATGAAGTTTCAAGTTGATACCTCAAATACTTTTTGAGAAAAAAATTGAATTGAAAAATTAAGTTTAAAAATAACAAGGGGCAATAACTCAAAAATTACAAGAACCGGTTGAACCGGGTGATGCTCCCCGAGAAGGTTCTGGACACAGGAAAGTATAAAAAAAATGAACAAAGGGCAATAACTCCAAAATTAGACCAGGCTTTGTTTAGGTTCTTGAAGCGTTGCAGTTCTATCCAATTACATCTAGCTACCTACAAAGTTTCATGTTGATATCTCTAATAGTTTTAAAGTAATGTCCAGGACAAAAGTCAAAAAGTAAAAATAAACAAAGGGCAATTACTTCAAAATAAGGCAAGGCAGAGTAATGATTCTTAAGCACTGCACTTCCACCCAATGAGACCTATCTATCTACAAAGTTTCATGTTAATATCTCTTATAATTTTAGAGTAATGTCCCAGACAAAGTTCAAAGTGTCAAAATGAACAAAGGGCAATAACTCCAAAAGTAGGCAAGACGGTGTTACAGTTCTTGTGCACTGCAAACTTACTCAATGAGATCTATCTACCTACAAAGTTTCATGTTGATATCTCTTATACATTAAGAAATATGTCCCGGACAAAGTTCAAAGTGTAAAAATAAACAAAGGGGGATAATTCAAAAATTAGGCAAGGCAGAGTTAAGGTTCTTGTTCACTGCACACCTACTCAATGAGATCTATCTACCTACAAAGTTTCATCTTGATACCTCTTTATACTTTTAGAGTTATGTCCCGGACAAAATTCAAAGTGTAAAAATAAACAAATGGCAATAATTATAAAATTTGGCACTGCAGAGTTACGGGTTTTGTGCACTGCATACCTACACAATGAGATCTATCTACCTACAAAGTTTCATATTGATATCTCTTATGATTTTAGAGAAATATCCCGGACAAATTTCAAAGTGTAAAAAGAAACAAAGGGAAATTATTCAAAAATTAGTCACAGCAGAGTTACGGTTCTTGTGCACGTCACACCTACTCAATGAGATCTATCTACCTACAAAGTTTCATGTTGATATCTCTTATACTTTTAGAGTTATGTCCCGGACAAAGTTCAAAGTGTAAAATAAACAAAGGGGGGATAATTAAAAAATTAGGCAAAGGCAGAGTTACGGTTCTTGTGCACTGCACTTCTACTCAATGAGATCTATCTACCTACAAAGTTTCATGTTAATACCTCTTATACTTTTAGAGTTATGTCCCGGACAAATTTCAAAGTGTAAAATAAACAAAAGGGGGTAATTCAAAAATTAGGCAAGGCAGAGTTACGGTTCTTGTGCACTGCACTTCTACTCAATGAGATCTATCTACCTACAAAGTTTCATGTTGATACCTCTTATACTTTTAGAGTTATGTCCCGGACAAAGTTCAAAGTGTAAAATAAACAAAGGGGAATAATTCAAAAATTAGGCAAGGCAGAGTTACGGTTCTTGTGCACTGCACTTCTACTCAATGAGATCTATCTACTACAAAGTTTCATGTTGATACCTCTTATACTTTTAGAGTTATGTCCCGGACAAAGTTCAAAGTGTAAAAATAAACAAAGGGGAATAATTCAAAAATTAGGCAAGGCAGAGTTACGGTTCTTGTGCACTGCACACCTACTTAATGAGATCTATCTACCTACAAAGTTTCATGTTGATACCTCTTGTTGTTTCAAAGTTATGTCCCGGACAAGAAAAGGGGACGGACGGACGGACGGACGGACGGACGGACGGACGGACGGACGGCCGGACGGACGGACGGACAAGGCGGCGACTATATGCTCCCCCGAAATTTTTTCGGGGAGCATAATAAAAGGTAGAGTTATCATTCTTGTGCAGTGCACACCTCCTGAGTGAGATCTATGCACCTGTGAAGTTTCATTTTGATATCTCAAAGGCTTTTTGAGTTATGCTCTGGACAAAAATTAATTTTGAAAAAATAACAAAGGGCAATAACTCAAAAATAATGCAGGGCAGAGTTATCATTCTTTAGCACTGCACTCCTCCTCAATGAGATCCATCCACCTATGAAGTTTCAAAGATGATACCTCAAATACTTTTTCAGATAAGCTCTGGACAAAAATAGCATGAAAAAAACAACAAAGGGCAATAACTCAAAAAAAATTGTATAGGGAAGAGTTATCATTCTTGTGCACAACATTTCTCCTCAATAAGATCTATCCTTCTATGACATTTCATGTTGATATCTCAAACACTTTTTGAGTTATGCTCCACTCAGGTGAAAAATTAGGTATGAAAAATAACAAAGGCAATAACTCAAAACTTTATGAAAGGAAGAGTTATCATTCTTGTGCACTGCACACCTCCTGAGTGAGATCTATGCACCTATGAAGTTTCATGTTAATATCTCATAGGCTTTTGGAGTTATGCTCTGGACAAAAATCATTTTGAAAAATAACAAAGGGCAATAACTCAAAAAATCATGCAAGGTAGAGTTATCATTCTTGTGCACTGCACTCCTCTCAATGAGGTTTATCCACCTATGAAGTTTCAAGTTGATAACTCAAATACTTTTAGAGATATGCTCCGGACAAAAATTTCGGACTGAAGGACGGACGGACGGAGACTATTACTATATCCTCCGCCGAAAATTTTCGGCGGGGGATAACAAAAGAAAATTTTGGTTTTAAGCCATGCACTGTGCATTAATTTGATTTTACAAAATCTTTTTTCTTTAAGTCTTTGCAAATAATTTAAATAACTAATTTTTTTACCCAAGGGCAATGATAAAGCTAATATCTAAGCTTAGGACCTGATAGTTTCCGATAAAACTCAACTTTCAGCTCCTGTCACCTACTTATGTCATTATATAAACCATTCTAACACTATCGGAATTTTTTCTATATAAACAAAGAAGGCCCGAAGCGTGCATTATTCAACAATAATGCACACGCCATTCTTATTATCTTCATGTGTATTTTCACATTGAGGGTGCCATTTTGTTTGAAAAATCTGATAAATAAAAACATATTTTGTCGAATTTTGTTGTGAAAACTATTTAGAACAAGAGCCATGTCAACATGGCCATCCCCCGCCGAATGTGTTTGCTCATTGGAAGAATGTATATGTAGTAGAGTGGAATAATTCCATTTTAAGAGGTCTTTTGGTTATGAAAACTGATGGCTATAGTGATTGCAGATTTGAAACCTATGTGAATACTGATGGCTGAAAATAACAAAGGGCAATTACTGAAAAATAATGCAGGGTAGGTTATCATTCTTGTGTGCTGCATCCCTCCTCAGTAAAATCTATCCACCTATGAAGTTTCAAGTTGATACCTCAAATACTTTTTGAGTAAAAAAAATTAAATTGAAAAATTAAGTATGAAAAAGAACAAAGGGCAATAACTCAAAAATTATAAAAGGTAGAGTTATCATTCTTGTGCAGTGCACACCTCCTGAGTGAGATCTATGCACCTATGAAGTTTCATTTTGATATCTCAAAGGCTTTTTGAGTTATGCTCTGGACAAAAATTAATTTTGAAAAAAAACAAGGGCATTAACTCAAAAATAATGCAGGGTAGAGTTATCATTCTTAAAGCACTGCACTCCTCCTCAATGAGATCCATCCACCTTTGAAGTTTCAAAGTTGATACCGTCAAATACTTTTTGAGATAAGCTCTGGACAAAATAGCATGAAAAAAAACAAAGGGCAATAACTCAAAAATTGTATAGGGAAGAGTTATCATTCTTGCGCACAACATTCCTCCTCAATAAGATCTATCCACCTATGACATTTCATGTTGATATCTCAAACACTTTTTGAGTTATGCTCCACTCAGGTGAAAAATTAGGTATGAAAAAGAGCAAAGGGCAATAACTCAAAAATTATGAAAGGAAGAGTTATCACTCTTATGCACTGCACACCTCCTGAGTGAGATTTATGCACCTATGAAGTTTCATGTTAATATCTCATACGCTTTTGAAGTTATGCTCTGGACAAAAATCAATTTTGAAAAATAACAAAGGGCAATAACTCAAAAATCATGCAAGGTAGAGTTATCATTCTTGTGCACTGCACTCCTCCTCAATGATGTCTATCCACCTATGAAGTTTCAAGTTGATAACTCAAATACTTTTAGAGATATGATCCGGACAAAATAGCATGAAAAAAAAACAAAGGGCAATAACTCAAAAATTGTATAGGGAAGAGTTATCATTCTTGCGCACAACATTCCTCCTCAATAAGATCTATCCACCTATGACATTTCATGTTGATATCTCAAACACTTTTTGAGTTATGCTCCACTCAGGTGAAAAATTAGGTATGAAAAAGAACGAAGGGCAATAACTCAAAAATTATGAAAGGTAGAGTTATCATTCTTATGCACTGCACACCTCCTGAGTGAGATCTATGCACCTATGAAGTTTCATGTTAATATCTCATAGGGCTTTTGGAGTTATGCTCTGGACAAAAATCAATTTTGAAAAATAGCAAAGGGCAATAACTCATAAATCATGCAAGGTAGAGTTATCATTCTTGTGCACTGCACTCCTCCTCAATGAGGTCTATCCACCTATGAAGTTTCAAGTTGATAACTCAAATACTTTTAGAGATATGCTCTGGACAAAAATGTCGGACGTAAGGACGGACGGACGGAGACTATTTCTATATCCTCTGCCGAAAATTTTCGGCGGGGGATAATGAAAGAAAATGGTCTAACTAAGAAAATGAATCCGAACACCAATATCTTTAATTCAGTCGTTAACGCTGTACAGACATTTAAAGTGTTGTTTATGTGACGTCACAATGTAGCGCCAAACAGCACATGCAAAACAGTCAAATCAAGTAAGCTATTTTAATGTCGCAAACAAGTTAAGTTTTACATTTATTCCACTTTTAATAATTTTTATTTCGCTTGAAAAATTATCAAGTGAAATAAAATAAACAAACAAAGTTTTATCAACTTTTTAAAAATTTGTTATTCTGAAAATGTTTCTACACACGGTAGAATGAACGACAGTTTTTTCAACCCACTGGAACAGCCTTGAAAGAACGTTTCTATTGGAAACTCTGAGTCGTAAACAAATTTAACCACCAAATATAAAGTCCAACTTTATAATAATAATTATATTTTTTCTTGACGTGTTAGAATGGAAATAGATATTAATTCTTCATGCATTATTGTATAATAATGCACATTTTTCGTTCAAGTGCTTTGTAATTAATCACTCAGGCCCAACGGCCTTCGTGATTATATTACTACGTATTTGAACTCAAACCATGCATTATTCTACAACAATGCACTCAGAATTGATATCTATTCCCTAATTATACACTGATTCCCTAATTATACACTGATTTTTAGTGTCAATTTGATGCTGATATTGGGCCTTATGCCCCACCATCAAAACTAAGTCCCAATTATAAAACAATTTTTCCCCCTAAAACTTTTGTAAAATAAAGAAAACCCCTTAAATGTGTATGAGTGATTATATAAAGATAGCTGTATATATATGTGCAGGGTTACACTAATTTTCATCACTTTGAAAATCAAATTTATTAGCACATATTGTCCGAAAGCTTGCTGATTTTCCCCCCCTCTAAAATGCTGAAAATGACAAATGAAAAATTTTCCCAACCTGATGGACCCTGCCTGCAACTTTCCCAAAAATGTGAGAAAAAACATCACTGATCAAGGCAGTGTAGGACTACCAAATGAAAATTCCTTCGCAGTTTGGCCAAAATCAAGTGGAGGTTTTAGAGATATTTTCTGAACCTTTCATACACTTTTTAGTTATGTGTTTAAGTCATAATGGCACTAAAAAGGTCATAAAGTAACAGTATTCAGTTTCAGATTTACTTATGTAGGAAGACTTTAGCATTAAAACAGCAGGCATGAGTGGGCAGCGTGGTACATGTAGAACCATCAGCCTTCTATTAACTACATGTAATTATAGATATTGATGTACAATAGCAGACAGACTATTATCCAAGCTCCTATTTGAACACATATGTGCTTACCTAACCTTGTACTCCCTACACGGGCCGAGCTAAATGAGAATAAACTTTGTACATGTAAACAAACTCAAAAAAAGCCAAAAATTATGCAACAGCACTTACCTTTGAATGGGAACTTGAAACTGTAATGCCTTGAACTTTCCATGTGACTTAAACATGACTGTAGGTTCTTGAACAAATAAAGGCAATCTGGACATTGATATGCTGTTATAGCGAGTGGGGGATAAAACACCAAGTGATTTTCTCTGTCCATATGTTCCCTACACAAATCTTTGCTTTCAAATTCTAAGTCACAATCTGGACATTTAAAGCAAACTGGATCTGGTAACAGCTTTGTGTCTTCAGCTAACCGTAACGGGTTGCAAGGGGAATGTTTAAACAGATTCATATGCTGTCCTAGAGATCCTTCGGATGAGAATTCAGCGTCACAGAACAAAACAGGACAAATATATTTCCCTTCAGATGATGCACTTGCAGCTGAACCAAGAACTTGCGCAGTCTCTCCAGCTTTGTTTCTCAAGCTTAACAAAGCTACATTTTCTGGGGGAGAAAAGTCATTATCACTTGTATCAAGCCATGATCGACTATTAGCTGATGCATCAGTGTTGGTACTTGATGCTTTCTTTTTCTTCTTCTTCTTTTGCCGTTTCTTTGCTTCATTACCAGGTGGCCTACCACTTTGACTAGGCACAGTTGATAGTGTTGATGTTTTATCTTTTATACCTGAAGAAAAAACAAGAGATGTATATACTTCAATATCTATAAACATAAAACTCCAAATTTACTTGCTCTACATAAATGTACTTTTGATGGACAAAATTTGTAAAAATCAAACACAAAGCTCTAATTTACTAATTACCGGTCTATATTGGTATATAAATGGGCTTTATTCAATTATCATTTTAGTGGCATTCAGTATAATATTTGTTCATAAAATTCATTTTTAAGTTATTTTAATTTGACAACTTTTTATGACTTACCATTTTTCTTAGCCCAGTAACTGGCAGCATAATTTGCTTCTAGCTAACTCTTGATGATCTAGATTTTGTTTCAAGATAATTGGAATGAGACTTTTTCAATCTCACGTTTAGATCTCAGCAAGGCATTCTGCAATAAAAAAAAAATCATCACTTTATGATATATTTGTACAGTCAAACTTTTACTTATCAGTCTGACAGTTTTGTAATTTGCAGATCTATCCCCTAACTTCGATTTCAAAGGGTCAAATGGAAAAAAAAGTGATAAATATGTTGACTTCTGAATATTTTTATGTCATAAAAAGTTGTAAATGTCTAAATACAGACATTTTGGGTGCAGAAATATTTTTAAAAGTACTATTTCCAGAACTCCCATAATATAAGCACGCTTGTGATAACAATTAAATAATTTAACACCACTATTTCATGTAACCAGTACAGAAATTGTATTCAAGCAAGTTTCTAAATTGTTTTAATAATCATTGATTGTCAGACAATTGCCTGTATGAAAGTAATTATATATTTAGTTATAGGTGATGTCATTGGCATGTGTTATTCATACTTTTAACAGGTGTGACCAGCAAGCCTTTTTTCCATGTATAAAAGAAATATAATGTAAAGTTTAGTCTGATAAACAGTTAAACTTATTGAGAATTTTTTCGTTATAATTTTCATGTGTTGAAATATTAATGAACTATTAAATCATGTTATATGTTTTGTTTGTATTCAGTGAGATGTAAATTTTAATGGGATCTATCTAGCACCAATAACCGTGTAATGGAAGAAAATGAATGAATGGCCACTGAAGACTTTACCAAAGTTTATGTAACTTTTACGGCTCAATTATTTGCGACTTTTTGATTCGCAAAAATACAAATATTTCCACGCTGAAAAATTTACCATTTTACAAAGTATTTATTATATTTACATACAGGAACACATGAATTAACCTTAACAGTACCGGTATACTATGAATTGAAAATTTCCTTCAGCGGCTGGCTGCATTCAGGTTTTAAAAGTATGAGTAAATAACATGTTGTGGATTCTTACTGACCTTTTCTTCTCTATCTGCTTTCTATTCTGTTTAAATCTGCTGGTGATTGAGTCTAAAGAGGAATGTTTTTGGGCTGCTCCGACATTATAAGTCATTCTGAATGTTCAACCCATGATCACGTTTTTCTCTATATCAAAAAGTATTGAATATAAATTACACAATTTTCTCATAATGAACCACCAATTACATCATGGAAATAAAAGCAAACATCATAGAAAATTAGTCACAAAATATCATTCATCCTAAATCTTTTTGTTACTATTTATATAAGACAACATGAACCTCCTTTTGCTGCTTTTATGCATTATTCAAGCATAGGCTTCCATCTGTGTAGAAACTATCTAGTTCTAGAACCATCAAACTCTGCAGGTTGAAACAAGTCCACTAAGTTCAAATGAATGCATGCCACCCCTGGTTTGGTGACCTTAACCTTTGACCTGAAAGAAGACTAGTACTGAGGTAATAACTTAAGGTGCATGCACCTGTGAAGTTTAGGAAAGGCTGGAGATTAAAGGACTTTGACTGAGTTTGGTGTCAAGAACAAATATTTGTGACAAACAGACCATAAACAGTTCTTTGGCATGGTATGCATTAATCTTTTATTTACCAATAACAGACATTTTCTTTATGTCGTCCTCATCACTGAGTTTTAGGTCAAACTTAAACAATGAAGTAGTACATGTAGTCATGCAATTTCAGTACAAGTATTAATACTAACACTGCAAAGATCATATGGGGGCTTATCAGCATTACTAGTGGAGGAAGCTCTGAGGTCTACTTATATGTATTATTGTAAAGTATGACAGGCACTTGAATGGTCCCCAACTTTCCAAAATCTACGAGGACAGCTTCCTTACAACAATGAATTCAAATTCTTTGGTGAAATTCAAATTCATGAAAATGATTTTACTTTACAGACTTTTACAAAACAGGAAAATGGTACTCCATAACTGTCAATATGTAAGGTTTTTAAAAAGTTGCACAAGTAATTATGATAAAAATACCTTTGTGCCTGTTACTTCAGGGGAATCTAGGATTTCTATCACTGAACGATTCCCATCCATACTGACAAATATTAAATTCTTTTTACATCACCTGAAAAAAACAGAGCAAAACACATAATGTTGTGAATTTTACACAATGATTTTTATCACTGAATGGTTTCCGTCCATGCTGACAAATATTAATTTTTTTACATCACCTGAAAAAAAAAGCAAAACAAGATTGCATTTGAGAAAAATGCTATGCCACCGCATGATTCAAATTTCATAGCTGTGCATCAACCTTCAGACAAAAATATGTTGTTTTTTTTTTCACTATATGTACATAATGAAAATCAATGACCCCGGGGCGGAACCAATTTTGACCCAGGGCTATATAATTTGAACAATCTTGCTAGAGGTTAACTACACAATGTTTCATGCAAAATATCTTAACTCTATCCTTTGTAAATTTAGAGAAAGATGATCTTTTAAGTTTTAAACTATATACATATAAGATAAACCTATGGCTCCCAGGGGCGGGGCTAATTTTGACACAAGAAGGCAAAATTTGAACAACTTTGGTAGAGTACCTTAGATGATATCATTTAACAAATATTAAAGCTCTAAGCCTTGTACCTTCAGACAATAAGATTTTTTTATCTTTTACTATGTGTATAAAAATTTATATTGAAATCAATGACCCCCCATGGCGGGGGCAAATGTGACCCCAGGGCTATAATTAGTGATGGAAATCAGATTAAAAATTTTTACCCTATCGATCATCGGTTCGGTCGATGGGACATAATCGATAACTTTCGAATAAAGTCGGCGTTTAAAAAGGAAATAGGGAAGTAACATTTTCTTACCAACGCACTTGATAATATTTAGTAACACAAACTCCATTAAGCACTTGCAACACAGTTTTAGCCTTATATAGTCATAATTTTACGAAATAGATTTTATTTTTCAATGGATGTCAAATAATACCATTCACATCACATTTATATTACTATTGTTTAAATCTCTTATTGATCCTATTCAACTCCAAATTGTCTCTGAGATGATTTTTTGCATTCGGTGAGGTGTTCCAAAAAAAAAATTAACGTCAGAAAATTAATTTCCCTTTTGATACTTTAAAACGTTTTCGACGACGTCGCGAACAAATTTTTGTGAATCGATTATTGTCGTTTTACATAACAGTAACTGATTGTCGGCGACTTGCGACAATCGGAACATCACTAGCTATAATTTAACAATCTGCTAGAGGTTTACAACACAATGTTTCATGCAAGATATCTAACCTCTAGCATTTGTCAATTGCTAGAATTTTTTTTAAAAGTTTTTAGCTATATACATATAAGGAAAACCTATGACCCCTGGGGCGGGGCCGATTTTGACCCCCAGGGCTATAATTTGAACAATCTGGGTAGAGACTACCAGACAATGCCTTATGCAAAATTATTTTCTAAGCTCTAGACCTTTTGGGTCTTTACAAGAAGTGTTTTAAGTTTTTACTATATGTACATATAACGAAATAATGCAATGACCCCGGGGCGGGGCCGATTTTGACCAAGGGCTATAATATTTGAACAATCTTGGTAAGGGTCTACCAGATGATGCCTTATGCAAGAAAAAAATATCTAAGCTCTAGGCCTTTTAGGTTTTTACAAGAAAGGTATTTTTTAAAGTTTTTACTATATGTACATAGTGAAAATCAATGACCCCCGGGGCGGGGCCAATTTTGACCCAGGGCTATAATTTTGAACAATCTTGATAAGAGGTCAACCAGACAATGCCTTATGCAAAATATCTAAGCTCTAGGCTTTTGGGTCTTTACAGAGAAGATTTTAAAATTTATTCTTATAATTCCTTTTGGTTGCCATGGCAACCAAGAATTCTGCATGGAATGAAATTCTTTGAACAACTTTGGAAGCCCTTCACCCAAGGAAACAATCCTGCCAAGTTTGGTTGAAAATTGGACTAGTAGTTTTTCACAAGAAGAATTTTTTTAAGTTCACTATATAATCTATATAACACACACACACACAAACACACACACACACAGGTGAATCGCTATATGCCACCGCATCGCAGATTGCGGTGGCATAAAAATATTATGTGGCTCTTAGTGTGATTTAATTTGAAAGCATTTAAACAATTTTCATTTCCATTTTTTTGTTTACCATTTTTAAGAATTAAAAATTTAAATGAAACAGAGTGAAGGAATAATCTGACATTTGCATGCACATCCAGATCACATCAAATTGTAAACTATGGCCTAAAAAAATCATTTCCTAATGCATCCTGTCAAAAACCTCAGTGGAGTGCCTTTTAATTTGTTTTATAAATTTATTATAATTTATTTTATGTATAATTTTATCAAAAGCTTAGACTCTCTCAGTTAGGTTTTGTTTAGTTTCAGTGTTCACAAATGCATGCAAATTTATAATTTGTAAGCTATTCAAGTTTAAGTCTTTACTTCTGAAAAAAAAAAAAAAAAAACTGTTGGTCATGGCATGACCATTGCTTGACAACGAATAAAGCATTCTGCATTGTGAGAAATTGCAGTCAATTTCAGCCCGAAAGTTACCAGCTACCATTGGTGGCTCTTGGATGGTCTGTTAAACAAGGAAGTTCAAAGACTACATAGATCTGTATATTTAAAAGGAAGATCAAATAGAAAAAAGCATAAAAAAGAATATATAGAATTCTATACCTTCAATGAAAAAAACGTTTG